GTGAATTGCGGCTCCCCTCTGGGGTTTTGGAGGTGAGGAGAGGCACCGGAGAACGGGGCGTCGAGGAGACGTGCCGCATTACAGAACAACGCCTGGGCTGGGCACGGCGCCTCTGCCAACCTCCCCACCTTCCCCAGGCCACACGTGTGGCGCGGAACGGAGAAAGCTGCTCCAGGGGAATCGACAGCGGCATCAGGCCCAAATATCCCATGGACACCCACTCAAATGAGGCCCTTCTCCTCTCTTCAACAGAAATAAAATCCTCGTAACACAAATTTGCTCACATGCCACGGGAAACGAACCCTATACCATTGCTGCTGCTGGAGAAAGGTGTTTTGGGAAGCAGGTGCACAGCGCGGCGCTGACCTCTGTGAGTGCTGCTGCTGAGAAGGTGGGGAAGAGCCCCACTGCCCAGGACACCACCACCACACACCATCCAGGCATGCCCTCTGCTTCTGCCAGGCCGTGGAAGAAGCCGTTGTTAGCTCCTTATTAAAAATTAAGCCTTTGGCACTTGGTCACAGTAACCTCTAGCAATTAGGAGTGTGTCATCGTACTTCGTGTAATGATTTGAGGAAAAATAAGCACCAACCGCTGCAAATGCCTGAGAGCAGCTCCCTTCTCTGGCCCAGTTCAGGCAGTCCCTGCGGTAAGCAACTTGTTTGCTTGCAACATGTGGCCTTGTTTCTCCTCCTGTCTCCTCCCTGCTTTCCATGGCTCCAAGGAGAGAGGAGCTGAGCAAGCCTCTTCTACCTGCTGACGGCATCATAGCTTCCAGCCTCTCCAGCAAAAAATTAAAGGAATGAATAACAGTAAAATGGGCTGAGCTTGAGTTCACAGAACATACGAACGCTTCAACTTTATGGTTTAAAATCACTGCTTACATTTCCCTGCCAAACCACCAGCGCTGCTCCGGCTCTCCATCACAGCAGCACGGCAAGTGCTGCGCAGTGAGAAAAGGCAAATAGCCGGCTGCACCGGTCCTGAGTTTGTAAATCACCACAGTCCCAGAGTGCCAGAGCGCAACGGAAAACTTACTACGTCAGGATCACGCAGCTGTCCATAGGCAAACCAGGGGCTTCTTAAAACTGCACGGAAGAAAGTCAAAGGTCTCAGAAATTAATCTTTTCTCCTCAGGCTCTAATTTTATTTGGTCTAAAATTACCCTCGGAGAGATACTGGGAAATACAGATTTGAGTAATCTACAAAGTGACAGAAATCAGATAAAGAGAAGATCACTTCTAAATGTTTTAGTGCTTGGCTATTTGTAAAACTCAAAAATCACTTCCTGGTAATTGTAAGTGAACAGAGAAACAGAAACACAAAGACAACAAAAAGAAAAAGAAAGGTTGTTTCCTATGAAATGCAGTGGTCCTTGAGTAGTCTGTTTTAAATGCGATAGTTCAGCTATAGAACACTGAAAATAACAGCAAAATAGAACATTTTCTTTTTATTAGTGGCTGAAGATTTATTTTTGGGAGGAAAAAGGTTGAAAGAGACTTGAAGAAGTTCAGCAACTTCTTTAGCGTCTGGACGATGCTCTTAGTCATATGGTTTAGTTTTAGGTGCACTCCCTGCAAGGAGCAGGGAGTTGGACTTGATGATCCTTATGGGTCCCTTCCAGCTTGAGATATTCTATGATTCTATGAATATTAGATGGGAAAGTCTGTATATGTAATGTGGCTTCAGAAAGTCCAAGCTCACTCGGGTCAGTGGGGGTCAGAGGAAAGTTTCTCATCGGATAGACAGACATGTTGTAGCCTGGCTGAAGGATGCGCACACAAGCATCAGCTGCTTTTTTGTTTAGGCTTCCTTTTCCTACACTTTAAAAAATAGTGAACAAAATTATTGTTGCCTCCCTCCCTGGAGCTGGGGAAGTGTTTGGTGTTTCCCAGGCAGGTTGATGACAAGCCCATGCGCAAGAGGCTCATCGTGGTACAAGCTAAGTGCCCTCACGCTGCAGTCTGGCAGGGGAGGGGTGACAGCAGCAGTGAGGGGTGACAGCAGGAGCGAGGGGTGACGGCAGGAGCGAGAGATGATGGCAGGAGTGAGGGGTGACGGCAGGAGCAAGGGGCTGCATCACCCACCAGAAACAGGCAATGTACGCTGCCGGGGCTCTGCTTTTCCCAGCCAGCCCAGAGAGTGGCAGTGATGCCGAGTCCAGCGTCAGCGCGGAGATGAAGCCAAGCCTCCAGTGAGCGTTCAGGCAGCGATTGCCATTACTGGGGAACAGCCCCCCAGCAGTGGTGCCTGGAGGCAGAGGACAGACTCCACTCACCCCTGCAGAGCGCTGGGTGACAGCTGGGCACTCGCTGGCTCTGGAGCCACACTTTACAAAGTGAAAAGGTTCAGATAAAGTTTTCACGTTCTGGACTCACTCCTCATACTGGTACGCACAGGATCTGCATCATGTTCGTCTTCAGACCATGGGGTGGCCTCCCCTAAAGAATGAAGCGGCATCTCTAATGCTCCTTACCACCAACTGCTTCTTCCCTCTCCAAAGCATATGCAGTAGGTTGCTTCATTCTGGTTGGGGGCTGCCCTGAACACACGTCTTCCTTCTGCCCAACCCTTGCATTTTCCATAAAGGAAAGGCTGGAGGGATGTCCCTGCGTTTGAGTGAGAAGTAACATGGGTCTGGGTAGTTCCCTGGTTCCTCATGGAGTTATTCCCAGCGCCTGTGGCAATCGTGCTCTTCCTCTTCTGACGAGGTTGTTGCACATTCCCGTGAACCAAGGGGGCATTTGTGGTCATGTTAAAACCTGATGTGCTTGAAATGGCATATATCGCTGAGAGGATGGTACAGTAACGCACTTGTCATTTCAGCAACAGTCCCTTCCAGTCACTCCAGCTACAGTATTAACTGACTCAAGGAGTCT